GAGAGAGGTGGGGGGAGGGGGAGTCATATGTACATGTACATGCGATGTGCTTTTTTATGGGCATATACGCTCATTCAAGTTTGTGTATGTCAATGAAAAACACATTTTCTGAGAAGCCGAACATATTTTTTTCTTAGTATTTTAGAATCTTCTTGGGAAAATGATATAGACTGTACTTTGGGGGGCTCTGGTGGTCTAGAGGTTACTGTGTTTGTTGCCTTCCATTCAACAGGTCCAGGGTTTGAAACCTGACAGCGACGAAACATTTTCTTCCCTAGAATGTTTTCTCACCTCTTTTCCTGCGCTCTAACCATGAACATTTTCTGTCGTCTGTTTTCGTCTCCTCCCGAGCAAAATTCCAAATTAATTCCTACCAAATTAAAAATATTTAATGACCATGTGTCCCGCGCACTCATAACGACCTTATGCAGCTGTGAGCGCGTAAAGCACCCTCCAAAACAAAACATCAAAAAATGTATTATACAGGGCTATACAAATGCTACTGATTCATCATTACTGGAATCAATAATGAGGAATAGGTTTTTCTACTTTTATTGAACTACACTTCTCACGTATCTCTGCCCAGCCTGTGGAGACCGGTGACCCGTAGTCTGTTGTCCGGCCTACAGAAGCTGGCACCTGGCCAGCCCGCCGAGTACATGGTCCAGGCTCGTGACGTCATCGCCCTGTGTTTCTCTGTCGGCGTCTTCCTGCACTCTCTCTACTTCCACAGGTACGTCAGCTCTAATATAGTGGTTTGCCCATTGGTCTATGTACAGGTTGAAACAGAAACAACCCAAGAGACTTTTCCCTCCGTCCTAGCCCCCCCCCCCCCATACTGTGCTGCATCAGAACACGAGGCTCGTTCAAATTGTTTAGAACATTATTTTTACTTTTTGAGATACAATTGAAGATATTTGAGACAGCAAGGTGAAATCAGGCGCTCGTCAGAATAATGAAAATGAAGAAACTGGCATTTTCTCGCAGGTTTGGGAATTTTAAATTGAAGTTTTAGTTTTTTGCTTCACCTTCTATGTCCATTAAAGAACACATTTATATTTGGATTTTATTGAAAAACATTGATTAAATGCACCAAAATTGTAAAGTATCAGTTTCCATGGACTCTCAAGCTAATGGAAAGAACTTAACTTTTGCTGCCATTTTCTTGCAAATTTTTCCTCCAAAACTATCCTTCAATTGTCAATATTTCGACTTGTGTCCAAGATATAGTTAAATGGATATTTTTTTCTTAGAAAGCAAGACAAACGAACAAGCTTAAGATGATACCAATAACTCCACTTGCCCAAAAATTGACAAGCGCCGGATTCCACCTCGTTGTGACACACACACACACACACACACACACACATATATATATATATATATATATATATATATATATATATATATATATATATATATTATATATAATATTGGCCTATGTTTCACTCATATCACACACAACCTGTTTGAAAGAGAAACACTAACAAGCAAACATTTCACTAATCTAAAATTATCTCAATACAAATAAAATTTAAAAGTTTCCAAACACTTGAAATCATAAAAATCAAGTCATATTTTAAAAAGACCTCACGTTTTGCTACAAAAAACAAAAACTGCATTTTCTGCGCGACCAACTTTAATGCTCTCCCAAAATCTTTTGAAGCACCGTACGTCACACTCATTTCCTACCCCCCCTCCCCACCCCACCCCCACACTTTATTTTCAGCCAATGCAATCGGTGCATAGGCAAAAGTCCTTGTCCAAGTTCGGCCGGCAAGACTTTCTTCAAACGCCCAAAGAGTCGAATGTGAGGCTTCTACAGAAGAAAAGCAACAACAATAACAAACCGAAGACAGACAGACAATTACATTTATAGAACTAAGAAACAAACAAAAAGAGACAATCAGCGCCTTTGTTGGGTACATTAATTCGACTTACTATAAACTAACAATAGTCTTTTATGCATGGCCTCACGGAGACCACAGAGTGGCCTCAACGAGAGTGGATACACTGAATATCCGTTGCAGGTCAAGTAAAGTCTGAATGGAGAAATGAAGAATACATTTATTAGTACGTCTTGAAAGTGTTGGTGTCGGTGGTTCGCTTGTGCTCTGGTGTGGTTTGCTTCTTCTTTCCAGTCAAACATAATATGATGTCGTCCTTATCTCTCCTCCTTTTTCGTGTTTCTGACTCTCTTATGACACCTGTAATCTTTGTCACTTGTATGACCAAATTGTGTTGCAATAGGCGTAAAACTTTTCCTAAAAAAAATAAATAAATTACAATGTGTTGATAAAATCACCGAGCTTTCTGCTACACATCCTGCAGAGTACAGTTTTCTGAGAAGACTCGAAGCAATGCGCTTTGACTTTGAGATCTGAGTGGCCTCTATTGGTGTTGGCAATTTTTGTAAGACACGGCTATGTGTTTGTATTTGTGTGTGTGTGTGTGTTTGTGTGTGTGTGTGTGTGTGTGTGTATGTGTGTGTGTATGTGTGTGTGTGTGTGTGTGTGTGTGTGTGTGT